ACCTGCAATCTCAGCTACATGGGAAGCCGAGGCAGGAAGATCACAAATTCAAGACCAACCTTGGCAACTTAGTGAGACTCTGTCTCAAAATAAAATAATAAAAAAGTGGGGTGGGGTGGGGGGACTGGGGATGTAGCTCAATGGTAGAGCACTTGCCTAGCATGTGCAAGGTCCTGGGCTTGATCCCCAGTACCAGCAGGGAAAAAAACCCTAAGACAGATGATTTGGAAAAACACATCTTTTTCACTTATTCCATTTTCACATCCTCAGATTTAAGCATATAAAATTGGCCTCAATTGTTCATCTGTGAAAATTCTCAGTTTGAGGCAATACCACATAAATAGCAGCTTTCAGATCTCTTCCAAAATGGAGTTCCAGAAGTTCTTTCATGAACAGACAAGCACCTCTTGGAGAGCCCTAAGGCAAGATGCCTTCTACAAAGTGGAGTCTCCTTTTGGCATGATGGTGAGGCTTGTTTTTCGCAATCTCATTTTAAAATCATTGTGCGTGGTCCCTATAGGCTGAATATAATAAACACCCAAGATCAGGACTTTATTAAAGAAATACATGTTCTTTTCATCATCCAGTAACCCCTTGAGTTGTGTTAGGTGATTGCTCCAAAATGTCATAGTTAGAAAGGAGCTGAACAGGCTGGATGGAGTGGTGCACACCTGTAATCCCAGCAACTCTGGAAGCTAATGCAAGAGGATTGCAAATTCAAAGTCAGCCTCAAGCAATTTAGCAAGGCTCTAAGCAATTCAATGAGACCCTGTCTCTAAATAAAGTACAAAATAGGGCTGGGGGCGTTGCTCTGTGGTTGGGCCCCTGAGTTTAATCCCTGATACCTGGGGATATAGCTCAGTTGGTAGAGTGCTTATCTCCCATGCACAAGGCCCTGGGTTCAATCCCCAGCACCACAAAAAAAAAAAAAAAAAAAAAAAGGAGCTGAACAAAGATTCAAACCCAAGCTTTCACTTTCCAAGTTTATTTATTCAATATTTTAGAATGATTCTGGCAAAACAGCAGTAAACAAAATCCCTTGTACTTTCTATTTGCTGATCCTTCCACCATTCATCCTTGAGACCTAAAACCTAAAGGACAAAGGAAGCCAGACTCTTGCTCATCCTATCAGTTCCATTTCTAGGAACTTAAGAAAAACTGGACATCTCTTCTGTTTGCATCCCCTTTTAAGATCTGATAGGGTGACTGTGATGTTGCTGTACTGACCTTTGTGAAAAGATAATCCTTTCTCTGTGCAAGGACCAAACAAAGGTCACATTTTTTTATTTGGGTGTTGTCTTTGAAATGACACCTATGTAAATTAGAAACAAAGATAAAGCTTGTTTAGCACTTAAACATTGTCGAAACTTTTCATTTTCCTAAGGGAAAAGAATTGTAGATATAGGAAGGTATTCAATCTTGTTTTCCCAAGAAGGGGTAAGAAAGACCTTTAAGTTGTAGGAAAGTGACATGCCACTTTTTATTTAATTATCCAGCTTATCCCCTTCTAAGGTAGTAAGATTGATTGATTGATTGATTTTTGAGCAACATGCCCAGACCTTTTTATGTTTTATTTAGAGACAGGGTCTTGCTAGGTTGCTCAGGGCCTTGCTAAGTAGCTGAGGCTGGCATTGAACTTGGGATCTTCCTGCCTTGGCCACTGGGATTACAGGCATGCGTCACTGCACCCAGTCTTTGTTCAACTCTTGATATTTGAGAACAGAAGTTTGACAGCATATATTTCCCTGTGCTTCTTCATGTAATTGACTGTGTTATTAAGATAATAGTATTCATTTACTCATAACTCAGAAAACAAATAGGATCATTTTCTTGGTCTATGCTTAATCTCAGCTCTCCACTGACAACCTATTTAACTTGATTTAACATGATTTAAGATTTTAATCAAGGTGGTATGTAAATTATTTCAACTTCTGTAGAGAGCATATCAATAATTTTGGTGCAACAAATGGAAGTTTGTGATTTATATCCATGTTGAGAAAATACGCAGGGCTGGGTTTGTAACTCAGTGGTACAGTGCTTGCTTAGCACACACAAAGCTCTGGATCCAATCCCTAACATAGGGAGGGAGGAAAGGAGGGAGAGAGAGAGAAAACAATTACAAGGAAAAAAAATTAGTTATGCCAAGAGTCCTTATTTGGAAATCTCAAAGCCTTTTCCTGACACTTCCATGGACCACTGTAGTATAATAATCACCCCATTTACTTCACAGGGTTTTCACGAGGGTCACTGATGATATAATGGATATAGGAGAGTTTTATAATGTGCAGGACCTTTATATATTTAAAAAGGATGCTATATTTTCATACCTACTATATGCATAGAAAAGCATGCTCAGTTGTGACTCCCAATAGCATTTCAGCCACATGGAATGTCTATATGTGAATGTAGTTCTTGAGATCTGGATCACTGGATAGGTGAAAACCAAGTGTACATTTTTTATATTTTACCAACAGTCTGGACTATAGCATTTGTGCCTCAGAAGTTTCTGATTTACCAGGGCTTACTACATAGGGATAAGCTGGTCTAGCCCAGGAGCTCCCTTTTAATGTAAACATTTATTTTGCTTATTTGAAACAAAGGGTTACAGTGCCAGTAACACAAGAAAGGGAACAGGCAGTCCAGTTCTCCAGAGCAAAAATAAACTGGTAAATAGAGTAATTTTGGATTGAGTTTGATCTTCACTTTAATATGGGCCTCAGAGCTGGTGACATATAAGAATAGAAACATTCTCAACAGCCTATAAAGCCTTCTTAGGGGGACCTGGGTTATTTATTCAACATTGTCTCAAATTAGTAGCTAAAACTATGAAGACTCAAATTTGCCAAGGCCCTAGGATATTGGGCATAAACTTGGCAAGGAAAGCAATGAGAAGACAGACAAAGGAGTGTGTGGTGGTGGGGGGGGAACTTGCAGAAGCTCAGCATCTCAAAGTGGGTTATGGATGTACATTTAATGGCGCGAAGAGCCAGTACAGTCTTACCCATGGATTTTACTCCTTCCTGGGACCTGTAATCCTAAACCTGATTCGATGCCTCTTGTCTTCCTTCTCCTTTAAACAGCTCCTTCTGATGTTTTTTCCTGTGCCTGCTTAATCATGTGACCTCCTTTCTCATGGGAGGGAAGGTTTTCTCCTTATCTCTTCCTTCCACGTCTGTTCTTAGCTAAGAGCTCCAGGCTCAGTAGGGTTGGACTACCTCTGGACAGAAGGGCTGACCTCAAGGTCATCAGGAGCTGGGCCTATTCTGTATTCAGATCACAAGTCCAGGACTGCCCACTACAAGTGCGCCTATGCATAAAAAATAGGATGGTGGCTGCATTTGTCCTGCTTCCCCTCCTATTTATTTATGGAGGTCATTTTATTTTTACCGTAGTAAAAAAAAAAAAAAAGCCAAAGTTGATGCTATATTACATGTTTAGGCCTCATCCATGATGATAAATCTTATACTGGAAGTGCATTCTCTCTCATTGCTTTAATTGAAAGTGCTAATGAATTGCAATCTAATGGATGATGCCTTTAGAATTTAAAAGAGTATTTGTTTTCATTTTCTTAAAGTATAGAACTGGGTCTTTTCCTCCTAGACTTCTTTACAAACGGTGAAGTCCCTTCTCTGCAGGATTCCCTGCATCTTCTTTTGCCTTTGTGCATCTGTTATTTACCCCTCTGAGTTGAATGTGAAAAATCACTTAAAGTGAAAGCCAAATCATTGACGTTTTTGTTCTGCGCTGGGGTTGGGGGAGGGCTGATGCTTTGTATGAGTTAAAAGAACAGATTACCCTCTCCTTTCTTTTTATTTGTAGTTAAGACATATTTGAATATATTTATGGAAGATAGTACAATAATTCAATTGTTATATTCAATGTATAATGATCCAATCAGGGTAATTAGCACATCGATCTGCTCAAATATTTATTATTTCTATGTGTTGGAAAACATCTGTCTCTTCTAGTTATTTTTAAGTATGTCAAAATTGTTGTAGACAATAGTGACCCTACTGTGCTATAGAACACTGGAAGTGATTCCTCCTATTTGTCCTCATTTCTTGCCTTTCTCCTCCCTGCATGATACTGAAGAAAGAGAGGGAAAACATAACTGTCCAGGGCTGTGAAATGGTTTGCAAGGACTTCCTGTGAGCTTCCTCTTTGGTTTTTCTTAGTCCCTGTGGAAAACAGTTTCTCCCCCTCTGCCTGTCTGTCTCTCTCTCACTCTCTCTGTGTAACCAGTGTAGGAAAAAAAGAAACTGGCTTAAGAAGACTGTCACTTATGAAATAAAATCCAACATTTAGCTATTAGAAATGCCTGAGGAACAGATAATGTTCAAGCATATATTGTTTAATGAATGGGTCTTAACTTTGAGCTAACTGCTCTAATAAATTTGCACACAATTAACAAGGACCCTAGTCACACTTCCAGTTGTCTGTCTTAAGCTTTCCTTTTTATTAAAACTTAAATTAAAGATTAAAGCCATTAGTTTCCATCCGTCAAAGATAATACCCATGAATTTCACAAATACAGCACCAGTGTCCAACACAAATATAATGTGAACCATAAATGCAAACCACATATGTAATTTTAAAACGTTCTAGTGGCCACATTTAAAAAGTAAAAAGAGTGAAATTAATGTTAATAATGTATTTAACTAGGCTTAGTATATCCAAAACATTATCATTTCAATACAATTATAATATAAAAATATTAATGAGATTTTAACCTATTTTGTACTATGCCTTTAAAATCCAGTGTGCATTTTATATTTATTGCACTAGTCAAGTGTACAAGAGCAACATGTGGGTTGGCTACCATATAGGACAGTGCAGAGCTAGTATCCCACGGATAAGGGCTCTCTACTGCTTATACCAATTTTGTTGTTATGAAATAAAATGGAAAGAGAATACTGTCTGCTATAGGAGTACTACAATATTTCCCCAATTGCAGCATAGCAGTACCAAGTACTGTATGGTGGAAAAACAGATTTTGTGACTAAGTAAGTTAGGGATGTTTTATTCTTTTATCCTCTTTTGGAGATTCCATGGCACATTAACAAATACAGACTCTTAAGCCAACTCCTGGGTAAAGAATCCTGTTTGAAGTTGAGTTCTGTGTCCATAAGTATTGTAGAAATTGCCACGAGTGTCTCTACGGAAAAAAAAAAAAAAAACTTGGTGTTTTCATCTCCTTCTTCATGCTCTTTGGAGCATCTCTACTCCCCCCCCATCCCCCCCCCCATCACCTAAGAACCAAGTTAACTTTTTTGTTCTAGAACAACCACTTCCTAAACTGAAACCATCATATGGCTTTAAGTTCTTCCACATGGACATAGATCTTCAGAAAGTACCTAAATATACACATTCTTCTTAACTTTCAGACATGATGAATACTTTAAAAAGATGAGGGAAGAAACATCAGAATGTGTACATGTGTAAACACAGAATCTATCCATGTCGAGTTCTGTAGATGCTTTCTTTTTATGTGTATGGTGTTAATTTCCACGCTTCACTGTGTACTCTTCTTGTATTGTGTATGAAGTAACTGACATAGCAGTCAATTTAAAGAAGATTTAGACTACACTTGTCTACTGTCACTCTTTAGCAAATGACCTTTTTGCAACATGATTTTACTGGGGCCTGTGATGCTGTCCCCATAAGTTCACTTTTAAGATCTGTGTTTAAGTGGCAATTACCACTAAATTAATTCTGCCACTGAATTTGGTTCAAGTGGCTGTAGTAACCTCATATGTGGATGTATTCAAATAAGTAGATTGATTTAAATGATCGATTTTGTCTCTCTTTTTTTAGGACTTTAGTTTTTCAGTATTAGAGATGTCTTCTGAAGACTGTAGTAGCAGTAAAGAATTCTTTTGATCTTGGAAATGCAGTAGAACATGTTTTTTACATAGACTCTCCAGGAGCAGGAGTGGAGTATTCTAAGTGTAAAAGTTTGATTTTAGAATCTGATAAGGAAGGGCAATCCATTCTCTAAAAAGGTAACAGCTTCCCCAACTTTGAACATTCAGAGGAGTTCTGCTTGGAAGGGAAGTCTGAATTTTAATCTCTTGGATTTAATGGCGCTAAATTAACAAAAATTTAAAAAATAGATTTTGTAGAATTCAATTATTAGAGAAAACACTTTGTAAAGCCATATACAACTGAGGAATAGTCAAACATTATATATTAGCTTGAGAATGTGCATTTCCCAAATGAATAGAATTTACTTTACAAAAAAATTTTTTTTTTCACAATTCACAATACTTATAGAAATACGATTGTATCATTGGAAAAAAAGAACTCATTTTCCTAATGATACATTTCACAAGTAGCAAATTAGTGCAATTCCGTGATTATGGTGGGGGGGGGGGGTGTAAAGGAATAAAATGCCAATATAGTATAACTGTTTATTCCTAACTAGGAATAAATAATTACCATTATTTAAAGTACTACTGAATTTTGAAGAACTGCTCAGTGAATGAGTGTTATTAGTAAAATTGTATTCTTTACAATATATTTGTCTCAGCACAGATGCAGAGTTAAAAACATAAATTATAAAAATATACCAAATAATAGAAATTAGTCGTTACTACTTTAAAATCCTATTAATCTGTTGTGTATAACAAAAATTTTGAAAGACTTGCACACAAAATAAAAGGCTTTAAAAACAATGCTTTTTTGTCAAAACAAGTCAGCAAGCTGACCTCTTGTTAATTATTTTAGTTCCTTAGGGGAACTTTAAATTGCTTTCAAAGACACATTAGTAACAAGTAGTTCTAAATTTAGAGCAGAACATTCTGCCAGAAATTTTACTGTATCACAAAATGTCATACTACCACACTTTCTAATAAAACCAAACTCTCAAGTATCCTGATATGTTACATATTATACCAAAACATCACTTTCTATAAGTCTATTATTCTGTATACATAATATTTTTAAGAAGTAATGACTATTCCGGTCCTAGTAAGAAAATATAGTGCAAAATATGACATCAAATTGATCTTTAGTGATTTTAGTGAAAATCCACTTAGGCGTTTGTCAAGGACACTAGCAATTACAAGCTGTAACGTACATGTTATTCTCAAAGATAAAATGGCAAATGACAACAGAGAAAGACATGGTCACTGGGGTAAATTAGTTGGTGTACAGACCAACAAAGAAAGATCGACTTAAAAATGCTCAGCGGATTTTAGCTTTTGTTCCTGGTTGTTCCTGGAGTGGGAAGTACTACAGTTGATATTGCTTTTCTTCTTGTAAGGAGTTTGCTCAAAGCCACTGCATAGTATGATGAAATATCTTCAGATGGAAGATTGAGTCAGAAGATTAGAGATGCACCTGTTTATAAAACTGTTACTATGTTCTAAACACTGTGATATTTCCAATATGTTTTCTGTATTAGTTTTGTACTTGTAGAAAATAATTTGCCATAAACTGGTCTTTATAGTGTTTAAAGTGATGTTATTTATTGGCTTACTGCCTCCCTGCACCATAACACAGTCCACTTAATAATGTAAAACCTGTGATAATCCTTGGCCTTAAAATCTAATGCTAAATAGTTACTGTGTTCCAATTAATAATATAAGCTACTAATTAATTTTCCTTTGAAAGCTAAATAAAACATTACACAAATACTCTGGAGTGCCGCTGCTGATTTTGTGTTGGTGACAGTGTGTGTATCTTGATCCAGGGCATGGTGGCCTGCTGGGTTCTATAAATAGACATTAGTAATCCTTTTGGAAAAAGGGCCTGGTACCTCTCAGCTTTTCGCTGAATCCTCCCCTCAACCCTTATAAATAGATTTTCCCTTATCACATAACAACTAAGATAAAAGCTCATCATGTTCTCTCCCTCCACTTTCTTTGTCTTGATCCCATCTAAATTTTCACATTCTGAGTTCACATTATTTTCCTAAATAGAAAAATGCCTGAGACGCCTGAAGATTGAAATCACCCAATTTCAGCAGGGAAAGAGATCTTATAATTATTAAAATCTAATTCCTGTAGGGATAGGTTAAAACCCGGGTTTTAGAGAGATTTAGCGGCCTGATGAAGGTCTGAGGGACAGGGGTGGGCTGAGTCCACCCTGATGTCTAGAAGGTGGCTTCAATTTCAGTCGGTGAAAAGGAATTGTGTTAGTTTTAGGATTGGCACAACAGCAAGCAGAGGTATGCTTGGCCAAGAAAACTGCTTCCTTATTAGGCCCTGGTCTTTGACCTGAGTTAGTCAGTTACAGAGGAATACATTTTGTAGGCGGGTTCTGGGAGGAGAGGCTTTGGCTCCTAGATTATCTGATGCTCTTTCCCTACTAGCAATGCTTCAGACCACTATATTTGGAAGACAAGGGGCCTTCTTGCAGACAAAGTGAAAAGTTCAACTATTCCCTGTCACAGTGGTGGGTCATGGCAATACACTTGTACTTTGAAAAGGATCTCTGTGGTCTGATTATTTTAAATGATGCCAAACTCTAGTCTTTTGAAGAATCAGGCGTTTCCTTGGCCCTGAAAATAAGAGACCGGGCTGGAAAGGCGGCCAAATCCTAATTCTGGGCCCTGTTGGTTGCAGTTTTTCAAAGGGATGTGACCAGTTTCCACAGACAGAACCGACCAAGGGACTCTAGGACCCAGAGGCTGCACGCGCGGCGAGCCGTGCCGGCTGTCTCCTCTCGGACTCCTGGCGTGGCGCGGAGCGCCTGTCTCAGGGCGCGGGTTCGCGGCCCGCCCGGGGACCGTCACTACAGAGACGCAGTGGGCATTCTGGCGCGCTGGCGGCGCACGGTGCGCGTGGGCGTGTCCCATCGGGGCCGCGCCGCCCGCCCCACCCCAGCCGGGTTGGTTACCCCCCAGGCCCAGTTCTAACGCCCGGGCCGGTCGGCCGGGCCCGCGTGCCCTCGGCGGGCTGCGCACAGCGCGGGAGTTGGTCGGGGCTGGGCATGTCAGGAACCCCTAGGGTAACCGCCACTGCCGCCGCCGCCGCCGCCGCCGCCGCCGCCACCGCCGCCACCACCACAGCCACGGCCACGGCCACAGCGTCCGTCCCCGGTCCGCCCCGCTGAAGCGCGGAGATGAAATTCCCGGCCTCGGTGCTGGCGTCCGTGTTTCTGTTCATAGCCGAGACGACGGCGGCGCTCTACCTGAGCAGCACCTACAGGTCGGGCGGGGACCGCATGTGGCAGGCGCTGACGCTGTTTTTCTCGCTGATGCCCTGCGCGCTAGTGCAGCTCACCCTCCTCTTCGTGCACCGCGACCTGAGCCGCGATCGCCCGCTCGTGCTGCTACTGCACCTGCTTCAACTCGGGCCCCTGTTCAGGTGCGTGCGGAAGCCGGGAGCCAGCCTAGGCCGCAGCCCCCGGCCGGCTCCCCCCACCTGCCCGAGCGAGGGGGGCGGCCTTCCGGTAGGGACAGGTGGCTCGGCCCGAGGCCGACCCGCCCTCCCCTCCAGCCTCGCGATTCCAGTCACCAGAATGTGGCAGGATCCTAGTATAATGACACTAAAGCCGCCCCCCCCCCCCCCCCGCATTCCCGTCAGGTACCATCATGTGAACTTGTCACCTGAATTTGACCGACAAAAATGGCAGCTTCGTGGGGTTCCTTCTCCGCGGTCCAGGGGGCGCCGGCAAAATTGGCTTGTATAGTCACCGATCCTTGGAAGCGGGTTCTAAGCCGCTTTTAAAGCAGGCGGTTTCGTTTGATTTATCAGACACGTGGAGCTTGCTGTGTGCCAGGCACTGTTCTAAGTGCTTCGCAAATACTAGTGTATTTAATTGGCATACAGGAGTCTAGAAATCCACGTACCTGTCTTTTGTCTCGCTGGTATGATGATTATTATGGAGTGTGGAAACATATGGGGTCGTAGAAATGTCTTCCAGCCCTGCCTAAGTTATAAACATAGTCGTGAAAGCTAGTACACAATGGGCCATGAAGATAACAACTGGCTATGTGTTAAAAAGAACTGTCAGTGACATTTCTGGAAATAGTTTTTATGACCACAAGGCAAGTAGAAATAAATATATGGGAATGAAACAGACTTTGCCTTTATCTAAGGCCTTTGAAGGGAGTTTAAAATGTGTTGTCTTCCTATCTTTCATCTCTAGGATAAGCAAAATAAACGGTTTTCTATCTGGATTCGAAACAAATTTGTAATCCTGAATTCGAAAGAGAGGTGACAGAGGAATTTGAAGAGAGAAAGACCAGAGACACATCTCAGGGACTACAAAGTTCAGCTAACCAAGAACATTTCCTACCAGGAAATCAAACTGTCTCTTCTCCACTCACACAAGCACCACACACCCACACCCACACACAACATCACATACACACAGTTGGGTAGCAGGATAGAGTTTACAAAGCCCTATTAGAAAACGTTTGCACTTCCCATTAAAAACAGACATTCCAGCTGACACTGGTTTACACAGAGTCATGGCAAACTTGGTGAACAAGTTTCCCAGCCTCCAGAAGCCCTGGAATCCTAGAAACAAAGAGAAAAGTGTATGCTGGCAGAAGTGACAAGTTGCTACTGTTGTCCTGACAGCTGAGCAAGAATCAAAGGAGGAAAAAGGGAGGGAGGGGGGAGGTGAGGGAAAGTTTACAAAGTCCTGTCACCTGGAGCTGTTTAGTGAAGAGAAAGTCCTTCTAGCCAAGCAAGCCCTGTGGTCCCAATAGTGTTCCTGCTGATTAAAAAAAAAAAAAAATGTGATCTGACTTTGGGCAAGGCACCTATCATTTCTTAACTTCAACAGAGAAACTCAGTTCAGTGGCTTGACGTGGGAGAACTGTCATTTCTCAAAAGCTTCTTCTGTTAGGTGGTTCAGTATGTTCCCTGTTTGTTGACTCATCACTATGAGGTAGCTGTAATTGCCCCCACGATTTTTATTTATTTATTTAGGTGATGAGGATGGGACCCAGGGCCTTGTGCATGCTAAGCCAGCACTCTACCACTGAGCTACACCCCCAGCCTTTGTCCTCTCTCTCCCTTCCTTCCTTCCTTCCTTCCTTCCTTCCCTCCCTCCCTCCCTCCCTCCCTCCCTCCCTCCCTCCTTTCTTTCTTTCTTTCTTTCTTTCTTTCTTTCTTTCTTTCTTTCTTTCTTTCTTCTTTCTTTACTTATTTTCTGTACTAAAACAACCTTTATTGACAATTTGGGTTCTGGGGTAAGGGAGGCCCCTTTCCCCACTGTGTCCCCACTTTATAGATGAGGAAAATGACATGCCAGACCATGTTCCCAAGGCTTCTTAAAAAATGAAATCAAGTTATTTATGTTTACTATGCTCTATGAAAGAAAGCAGAGTGTATAGTACATCTTATTAGTAGTTCTGCCTTAAGAAAAAGTTTTAAATTTTAAAACTAAAACAACCTAAATAGCCATCTAAGTAAATGAGAATACCTATCATTGCCGTCATTTAAAATGTTTCTAAACACCAGAAGTAACCCAAAACAAAGCTCATGACATAACATTAAGTATAAAAACAAGATGACAAGTATAAACCTGAGCTGAAGGAAATACCCTAAGCTGTTAAGAGCAGTAATTTATAAAAGGTGAAGTGTGATTTTAGTATTTAGAAAAACAGGAAAGTATATAATTTTCTCCTTTATTATGTACTTTTCTGTATATTTCACTTTTTACAATAAACATAATTTTATTAAGGAAAGGAAAAGTTTGGTGCTTTGAAGAGATCACTATATAGAAAGCTTCAACACTGTAAAAAAAAAAAAAACTTATTTCCAGAAAATTCTGAATGGAACAAAATAAGAGGTAAAAACAGAACAACAGGCAACCTTCTTCCACTGCCAAGGAGTCTCTCATTCTAATGCAGCTGATTCATTTCAAGGAGATACTGGACCCATAATCTGAGAGCTGAGATACACAAAATATGGTTCCAAGTCTCTTAGCTTTCAGATGAAAACAAAAGCAATTTGTTGTCATATATTAACATGACTTAGTATCTCCTGGAATTTTTTCTTGCTGATTGGTTCTATCGAAACTCTAAGACATCAGCTCACATAAAGATTAAAACTATTTCCCCCAAACAAAAGAGAGGCATGGTGTTTCTCCCTCTCACCGCTTATTGTTGGATTTATTCATCCTTCTAAATTGTTTTGAGACAGTTCAGCTCTATTTAACTTCTGGTAGGTACTAGTCAAACTCATTCTTCTTAGATAGATGCTGGTTTTGAGTTCACAAAGGATGATAACCCAGTTAAACTGCAATAGAGGAGAATTGCTGGGGTGTAGCTTAGTGGTACTATGCTTGCCTAGGAAGCATGCAGGAAGCCTGGGTTCCATCCCAGCACCTCATCCAAAAAAATTATCCCCCCATAATACATTATACCAATGATTATGGACTAAATACCATTAACTCCACTCTGTCCCTCCTTTCCTTTAGGAAGGCATTGAGAGAGCAGCTTATTTATATCTTGCATTTTAGTCTTATATGTAAATCTGCAGCTGATTGTTTCTACATTAAGGCTGGATCTGAATATGAACTTTGGATAATCCCCTGAATTTATTTTTTCTTCTCAGTTTTAAGGAAAATCTTACTGTGAATTATAATAGATACTTTGGAGAAACAGGGAGGGGGAAACATCTCTTACCATAACCAACCAACCAACCATTCAGTAGAATGAGCACCATTCTATTGATTTTTTTTTTTTTATTGAACCCAGGGCCTTGTGCATGCAAGGCAAGCACTCTACCAACTGAGCTATATCCCCAGCCCTTGATCATTCTTTTACAGTTAACTTTCATAAATTTATTTGAGAGATGTAAATGTAAATGAGTTACAAGATCAAAAAATTCCCCCCATTTTTATTTACTGGCATAATAAAGAAAAAATGGTACATTACAAATCTGCATTTGTATAATAAAGGCTAAGAAATTCCAAAAATCTTTAGAGAACATTGCAACATGATTCACCATACTCTTTCCCTCTGTAGTAAACTTTTGAGAGAATTTAACAGTCTACATTTAAAGAATATTTATTTCATTGGCAAAGTGCTTTTTATGGTGTTTCATTCCATCCACTATAAAACCCTATGAACTAACTGTCATTATCTTATTTTTACAGTCCAGGAATTGAGGCTCAAAGAGATTAAGGAAGTGGCTCTTCAAAGGTCTTACAGCGTTTTCTACTTAACCAGTTTGGTTCTTGTGTAGCCTCTCAGAGCATGCATGTCATGTGAAGATAACATGGCTTATAGGAAATCATAGTATTTCTTTGGAAAATGTATTTTTATTAGGGTCCCTGGTTCCACAAGTTATTTGTACTGATATCAACATGAATGGTTTCAACTAAGAAATAAACTCCTGGTTTTTATGCTTAAAAAATGGGATATATGATGCTTGCTAATGGGATAAAGTTAAAAAAATGGACCCAACTACTGATTATCTATCTATCTATATCAGTGATTGGTAAACTGTGCCCCATTGGCCAGATTCCCTCAACTACCTGTTTTTGTAAGTAAGGTTTTATTGGAACTCAAATCATGGTCATTCATTTATAGATTGCCTATATCTGTTTTAGCTCTTCAGAGGCAAGAGCTGAGCAGTTGTAACAGGGACCATGGCCTATAAAGCCTAAAATATTTATTCTCTGTAAATACTTTACAGAAAAATTTCCTGACCTCTGATGTACATGATACTGGAAAACTACCTTGAATGATTAAAAAAAGTTTTTTTGTGTGTGTGTGCGTGTGCATGTATGTGCTGGGTATAAAACCCAGGGCCTCAAACATGCTAACAGGCATTCTACCTGAGCAGCAGTCATACATTGAATAATTTTGTTGAAAGTATCTAATTTGGGGCTTTATTTAGACACTTCTTAAGCAAAACAAACTACCAAAACATATTTGGAGTAATTAGATAAGTCTTGTGGAATTCCAAGAATACAGCAGTAGTTCATTTCTGCTTAGTTTTCTTACCCTGTAGTGGCAAAATATCTTGGGGCCATTAACAGATTTATTAAACACCTAGATTGTATAAAAGTGTGCTAAGACAATGTATTACCTGGGAAAAGCAGTGGATTGTGAGAAAGTCTATCTTGGCTTTAGAGTCACTTCATTATTTCATTGTGGTACCTTCTTTCATTTCCATTGATTGATGAATGAAGTTTTATTTTGTCTACAATTCTATAAATGCTTCCCATTTCAAACAGCCCCCTCCTCAGCCTTAAGAGAATTCCATTCTCCTCCTAACTGAATCCTCAATTCATTCATTTAGCTCTCAGCATGTATTGGTATTTTGATTGCTTATTGTTTTGATTTTTAAAAACTATAAACTTGGGCTGGGATACAGCTCAGTTGGTAGAGTGCTTGCCTGACATGCACAAAGCCCCAGCCCCAGCACCACCACCACCAAAAAAAAAAAACCCAAACTCTAAACTTGATTTTATTATGTAAGTAAAGCATATTTGTTGTTGAAATGACAAAAAAGCAGAAAACAGATATGTACAGTAAAGAAAACAAAACCTCTAAAGAGAATAATTCTTAATGTTTTGTTGTAAGTTCTTACTAATATTTTTATGGTGAATGCTTGTAAACTCTCAGGGTAAACAAGCCCTGATTTTCAGTGTTTGCAGATTTCCACAATGTGTTTATCCCCATCAAATGTGATCAAGCTACTAGTTGTTTAACAACTGGCTTACAAAATTCCTATTTAACAGTAAGTGCTCTTGAGTCAGTATGAAGCAGCTCAAACATGCCACTGTGTGTTTGTGTGTGTAATTTGTATGTATTTATATATGTGTATAATTTTCTTTTTTAAAAATGTAATTTTCTCTATATATTCTGTTGCCATTTGTTTCTTTTATTTACTAAATATTTTAATTTTTACTTGTTTATTTACTTATTTTTGATGCTGGGGATGAAACCCGGGCCTTGAACATGCTAAGGTGTTCAACTACTGAGCTGTATCCCCAGCCCAGCATTTTTTTTTTTTATGTCAGTAGATGTATTTCTAAACCACCAGTTTTAAGCACCATATAATATTGCATTGAATGGATATATTGTGATTTATTTAATTATTCTTTCATTTTGAAGACCTTGAGAGTATTCATGAAATTTTGCTATTACGAATAATGCTATGATTCAAATTCTTGTAGTAGACTTTCTAAGTGAGAAAATATATAAGAAAATATTCTATGAGCTAAAAGTACTGTATAAATGTTAGTAGTTTCAATTACTTATTATCCTTATCCAATATCCCATTGCCCCATTTAGATAATGAGCACCTCTCAATGAGGCAGCGGTACATCCAGCTATTTTTTGCATTCCCTGTAGCACTGAGTAAACTGCATCTTCACTCTTCATATATTTGAGGGGGGAAAAATGCTTGTTGGTTTATTCTATCTTCCAATCTATATTGTTGTTAATGGTCTGGCAGTGTGAAGTGGCTAAAGTGGCTAGGCCTCATTCAGTCCCCAGTCACATATTTGTGTTTGGGACCAGCTGAACTTGGTTATAATTATTTTCAGCTGAACAAACTGGCACATGCTATTTTGTATGTTTTCATGTAATATATTGAAGTAATCTTGACCTCACTGCACAAAATGTACTAGATAAACCTCTCCCCCCCACACACAGTACTGCACTCCTTCTTTCTCCCAGAAACAAGGAGCAAAGGTAATAATCACAAAATATGTTCACTTTGTACTCACCAGAAGTGTTCCTGCATTTCCTCCCTTGCATCAACGACTTATTTTATTATTTCAAATTATAAATGTATTCTCACTGCCATAGTTGCCTCAGGGTGAGAGTATAAAGTTAACATTCAATAAAGTAGATAAAGCTATAAAATCTTCTAGCAGCATTATAAGGTTGTTATGAAAGTACATGTTTCAAGGGGAAAAAAAAGCCTTCAACAATTTTTAAACCTAAGGCCATGAATGTTTTTCCTATTCCTAGGGATAACCCATTTTCCCTGCCTTTTATTATGGAAAATTTCAAACATATAGAAGAAAACTTGATTTCTCCTGTGAACACCCAAGTACCCACCACCTAGACTTCACGATTAACATTTTGTTTCACACTTTTAGCCATCCCTGTCTGTCTCTCAATGTGTGTGTGTGTGTGTGTGTGTGTGTGTGTGTGTACTTAAACCACAGGCATTAGTACTCTTCCCCTTTTCAGCAGCCATATCATTACCTAAAGAGGAAATCAAATTTAAAAGCCAGATATTCTCATTCTGGAAATGTTATTGGTTAAGACTTTGTCCCTAGAGCAGGCTTGGAATTCTATAAGTAAGACATATCTGGCAAGCCACTGGGCATAATTGGCTTTAGCCCTGCCATGTAAGGGCTTATGAGGACAATGAGATAGGTAACATATTGTGGTCTTCCAGTGAAATGCTAGATGGCAAACTTTCCTGAGCTGGGCAATTGCCCAACTATACTTTCTGCTTTAACTAGAATGGTTTGGGGAATCTATTATAGGGAGTGTGTGTGTGTGTGTGTGTGTGTGTGTGTGTGTGTGTGTTATTGCTATCTTTCACAGCAAAGTAGCTATCTTTTCTGCTTTATAATTGAGAGAAAAGGCTCAGAGGATAAGTTATTTGCCCAGGGCTGCACAGCTGATGTGTCAGTAGGGAAAACTGAATATTTTTCTGTGACTTGAGCCTGATCGACTTGCCATTCTCTAGTAAGTTTCCTTTCCTCTGTGGTCTTTGGTGTCACCCCTCAATTTGGTTCTTACTCAATTCCCATTGGCCTGCAGGAGGGCCTGAAGAGGACCAAGTGCTTAGAACTGGTCCTTGGAGGGGATAACTTAGAGGGATGATTATAGTCCAAAATAGCCAAGTCAAGGCTTTGAGAATCAGAACAATTGGAAGAAGGATGACTGAGAAAGGAGAATCCTGCCCATCTTTAATTATTATGACTTGCTGATTTGTTTTCAGGTGTTTTGAAGTCTTCTGCATCTACTGTCAGTCAGGCCACAGTGAAGAACCTTATGTCAGCATCACCAAGAAGCGGCAGATGCCAAAAAATGGCTTCTCAGAGGAGATTGAGAAGGAGGTGGGCCAGGCAGAAGGCAAGCTATTTACCCACCGTTCTGCATTTAGCCGGGCTTCAGTGATCCAGGCTTTTCTGGGCTCCGCCCCCCAACTGACCCTGCAGCTGTATATAAGCGTCTTGGAGCAGACCATCACTGTTGGAAGAGGTATGTATATTTTTTTAATTCTCTTTGCACTTGGGGCTCCAAATGGGAGACAAAACATGCTGTTTATTTTGTTTCAAGTGAAAGTCCTTTGTACACGCCTTTAGTCATGAGTCTGTGTTCTACTTACTAAGCTCAAAGTTTAGTGAATTAAAATGATAACATTGAATTTGCTTCAGAATCTGCATTTTGGACAGGGCTCAAAGGGGAAGAAAGCTTATCGATGCTCCAACTGTGGATCAGCTGAGTGACTCAAAGATGGGGGACTAGAATCCATTGAAGCCCCATTCATTCACATGTCTTATTGCTCCCATGTTTTTTTTTTTTTTTTTTTTTTTGTACTGAGGATTTAACTCAGGAGTGCTCTACTATTATGCTATATCCCAAGCCCTTTTATTTATTATTATGAGACTGAGTCTTACTAAGTTGCTGAGGCTGACCTTGAACTTGTGATCCTCCTGCCTCAGTCTCTTGGGTTGCTGGGATTACAGGCTTGTGCCACTGTGCCCAGCTTCATATGTCTTAATGCTGGCTGTTATTGGGGATCTCGGGTCACCTCCATTTGATCTCACTATGTAGTTGAAGTTGGACTTCCTCACAGCATGGTGGCTGCTTCCAGGAATAGTTTCCTCATAGTGAGAAAAGGCTTGGGCCAGATGGAAGCCATGTGGCCTTCTGTGATCCAGCCTTGGGAGACATGGAATATCACTTGTGCAGCCTTCTCTGTTAAAGCAGTCACAGAGTCAGGTGACTTTCCTTTTAAGGAAAGGGGAGGGAAGTAAACTCTTGTTAGGGAATGGAAGATCATGAGAGACCAAAAATACCACTGTGACCATTTTTAGAAATGATGGTTTGCCTTTAGAAAAGACAGAGGCTGGTCCTCTTGGAATTTCATCTCTGTCTTTCAATGATAGCTGTAAATTAGCTGAGATGGTTGATTGTGATATATTTTTTAAAAATTCTGATTTCAGCATTTTCTTAAATGAATGTTTTTTCAACTAAAAGCTTTGTGGTGCATGGTGGATCAAGGCCACTATCCTGTCTTCTTGAAGTTCTGATTGGTATATTAGGAGCTTTTGCTTTTAAGTGAACACAATTTTCTAACCTTTGGGCTATTCTTACATCATAAAATTAACAGCAGATTTTTAGCTAATTCAGGTTTCCCACAAAACCTCTATTTATATTGGACACAAATGAAAAACCTTCAAATGAGAGGGCAAATAACCCTTCTTATACATTAATATTATACATAAATGAAAAATGGGTACTCTGATAAGTTTTACTACAGACATGCAAAATGGTTTCAAAGCTTTTAGTTGAAAAAATATACATTTAAGAAAATGTTGAAATCAGAATTTTTTTAAAAAAATACTCTTATTTGTTTCACTCCGTTCAGTTTTATCTTCTTTTTGCCTGTATTTTAAATGGGATGGTAAATGTCTTAATTCATGATGGTGTTATATGATACTTACAAGTCAGAGGGTCTTCCTTGTCACAGGTTACCTGACTATGACTCTTAAGATATGAGTCAGGGGCTGGGGTTGTGGCTCAGTGGTAGAGCACTCGCCTAGCACATGCGAGGCCCTGGGTTCGATCCTCAGCACCATATAAGAATAAATAAGTGAAATAAAGATATTATGTCCAACTACAACTAAAAAATAAATATTTTTTTTAAAAAAGATATAGGTCAGGATCTTAAGTAGTGGTCTTGAACCACAACCCCTGGTAGACAGTAGGTACTGAATAAGTATAGTAGCATCTTTAATCTCTAAGGACTTATAACTGAAATGGGTCATGACTAAGGTATGTTTTCTGAGTACAGTATACCCCTTTCCCAGTTTATTGCTTTTCCAAGTGGGCAGGAACATAGTGAAAAATCAGATGTAGTGATAACCTATTGATTTTTATAAGCAGATCCATTTTTTCTCAAGTTTTTGATAGTGAAGACTGCCTTATGGGCCTAATCAGGGCACTGCCTGTTTTTGTAAATAAAATTTTATATGGAACACAGCTATCCTTTTTCATGTGTATACTGTCTCTGGCTGTTTTGGGGCTACAGTGTCATAGAGATGAATAGTTACAACAGAAGCATATGGTCCACAAAGCCTAAAATATTTATTGTCTACTCCTTACAGAAAATGTTTGCCAACCCTTGTAGTTTTTCAGACAGAATTTCGTTCAGGAAAATAAAATCTATCTTCTAAATATCCCTTGTCAGTATCACAAGAGATATCTGTGAGATATACCAAGAAGTTGGGAAAAATATAAGTCCTCTGAGAGCTAAATGAAAAATCAGTTAGACCTGGAAAGAGGAAGTAGTTATGAGCCTGTTAAATGGACAAATGGCTGCCATTTATGCAACCCAAATCACTACTTTAACGCTGAGGAAGGAATCCCTCACCCAGAAGGGGCAAGGCCTTTATAAATGGAATGTGGGCTAGGATGTGTCACAGGCAAATTTTGGAACTGTCATATGTTTGGGAATACATTTGGTGCATGGAATAAACACCTGATTACAGGTTAAACAACCCAGTGTTGATTTGGCTCATGTAACAAGAAATTGGAGGTGGGTAATTGCTGGCATTATTTCAGCAGTGGAGAAGTTGATGTCCCTGCAGATCCATTGGCCTTTGTCTTGGGTTGTTATTATGTTTGCAACCATCATAGCTGCATTCAAGGCAGGAAGAAGGGCTGAGGAGGGAGGAGCAGATGACTTTCTCCTTTTATTACTAAATATAACTTTCCCAGAAATCTCCCTGGTGGAATTTACTTTAGGTATCATTGACCAGAAGTGATCATATGGTCACCTGATTGAGAGAGATGCTTGGAAAATCAGGGATAGGAATGATAGCCACCAATGTTTTAAACCAGTGTATTAAAGTTTGGATATGAGATGTCTCCCAAAAAGTTCACATGGCAAAGCAGGAGTTTTCAGAGGTGAGGTGATTAGATTATAAAAGCTATAACTTAATTGATAGATTAGTCCATTTGATGGATTAATAATTTGAATGTATTACTAGGAAGTAACTATGGGCGGTGTGGCTGCAGGAAGTAGGTCACTGGTGGGGGGGGCGCCCTTGGGGATTATATTTTGTCCCTAGCTCCTTTCTTTCCCTCTCTGCTTCCTGCTGCCTGGAATTGAGCAACTTTTCTCCATCCATACCCTTCATCCATGATATTCTGCCTTACCTCAGGCCATAGCAGAGGAGTCAGCTGACAATGGACTGAACCTCTGAAACCATGAGCTGAAAACAAACTTTTCTTCCTCCAAGTTGTTCTTGTCAGGTATTTTGGTCACAGTTACAAAAAGCTAATACCAGGATTCTTCATAATCCCGTAAGGATGATTAGAATTACTTGGAGCCTTGTTAAATATATAGATTACCAGAACTCATCTCTGGAAACTGATTTGTTGGGTATGGGTTGGGAGATGGAGGCCCAGGGTATATCTTTTTTTTTTTTTTTCTTTTGTTTTTTAACAGTGAATCCAAGTGATCCTATTATCAGAGAAGTTTGGGGACATTGGATTAGGTTACTCATGATGGCCTGGGGTTGGGTCTCACTTAGAACAAAACTGTGTTTTCTTAAAAGACAATAAGAGGGATGAATATTGAATAGACAGATAACAGTATCTGCCATGCCATCTAAATGTGTTCTAGACCAATAGAAATATCTGTCCTCTTGACAGGAGAGGTACCTGGAGTCCATCAGAATCTGACTCCATTCAGGATTCAAATTCTATTACCCTCTACTCTCCAATTCTGTGCTCCTGAGCAAACACTGATGAATTTGGCCTTGGAAGGGTTTGGCATGAAAAATAAACAGAGTTGCTTTTTTAATATTATAATATTTATATAATATAAAGTTTTAAATTAGACCATTTTTATGTGTACAATTTAGTAACTTTTAGTATAGTCACAGTGTTGTTGGGCCATCATCACCACTATCTATTTATAGAACATTTTCATTATGCCAAAAAGAAAACCCTACCCATTAATAGTCACTCCTCATTTCCTGTGCCCCTAGACTCTGGCAACCACTAATCTACTTTCTGTCTCTGTGGATTTGCCTGTTGTGTGTATTTCATATAAAAGTTTTCTTTTTCAGTATGAACAAATAGTAAACACCATATTTATGAGCTTCAGTCTAGGGTGAGTTTAGCCATCCTGAGACACTGTGAATTTAGTCAGTTCTTACCAGAGGCTTGATGAAGTCACTGAACCTTGGAAAATGTGTTGGGCTGAAGCCCAGGTAAGGAGAACAAGGTTGTTCTGCTCTGGGAAGGTCCCTACAGTCTGCCATTTGGCCTGCCTGGACTTGACAGTGCCCTTCTCTCTCCCATTTTAGGTGGTAATGTTGATCTTCATAATGACTTGCTTTGTGCCGGGCAGTGTGATGAACATCATAGCATTTCATTTTCCATGTCCCTGTGAGGTGGAAAATATTTTCTTCATCTTTCTAAAGAGGGAAATTACATTCATGGTCCAGCAGAGGAGCCAGGATTTGAAGTTAGATTTGTGTTGTTTCATTTATGGATGCAATGAGTTGTTTTTTTTTGTTGTTGTTGTTGTTTTTTTGTTTTTTAAGAGGAGAGAGAGAGAGAGAGAGAGAGAGAGAGAGAATGAGAGAGAATTTTTTAATATTTATTTATTTTTTTAGTTTTCGGCGGACACAACATCTTTGTTTGTATGTGGTGCTGAGGATCGAACCCAGGCAGCACGCATGCCAGGCAAGCGCGCTACCGCTTGAGCCACATCCCCAGCCCTGCAATGAGTTTTTATTGAGTATGTTCTGCATTTCAGACCCTGTGCTGGTCTCTGAGGATAAAGTGGTGAAAAGGTGGGCAGGCCCTATCATCTTAGAATAGGATAAATAGACATGAAACAATAAATCATGTATTCATTTTGTTGCAGATAAATCCTGCAAAGTGTGAGGGGAAGATTGGGGGAATCTAACCAAGCCTAGGAGATGAGACAAACCTTTCTAGAACATAGGTTTATATTA